CTCATAGTTCGACAAGACCATATTGTGAGGTTTAATTTCCTCATCCCTTTTGCCAATTTTCCTTAGCATAGAATGAGGGATAATATTGATAGTTGCCCCACAGTCGACCAATATTTTATTCACAGTAGTCTCTTCGAGCTTAGCCCTTATGAACAAAGGCTTGAGGTGATTCTTCATCGCCTCTGTAGGTGGCTCGAAGAAGCCATTTTGTTCCTCAGTAGTGCCATTGTCCATGACAAAATAGCACACTGGCCTATGCTTGGCCATTTCTTGTTCCACCTCCCAGTCACTTGCTTCGACTTCTACCTGTCGATTGAATTCCCTGGGCAGCACTGAAACAATATTCACCATTATATCCAAAGTATCATCAGACTCAGCATCATCTTCGTCTTCGACTTCGCTTTGGTTAAGCCAAACTAGCCTGTTGGTAACTGGTTCTCTCTCTAGAGGCTTCCTTTGTTTCCTTTGAGGAACATTCGAACTAGTTTCTGCCTTAGGTTCGTTGGCAGCCTCCCTTTCAGCTTTTCGTCTCCTTTGATATCTCCTCCATTGGGATCGAGACATAGGATTCTTACCCTTGTAGTTGCTGGACACTTGAGCAACCTTAGGTGCAGCAACTTGAGGCTCTTTCTTTTGAGTCAAAGAGGAACCTCTTGGCACATCGAAAGAATGCCATTTCTCTTCATTTGGCCTTTTTCGGCCAGAAGTTTTGTACCAAGTGTCTACTGGTACATTTGTTGGAGGCCTAAAAGTCAATGGCCTCTTGTCTTGATTAGAACCCCTTCTGGGATCATGTCGAAGGTCAGCATTCTCCCTTCTCGCTGCTCTCACGCCTTGAATGTGCTCAGCAGTTTTTTTATCAAAAATCGAACTGCATCTTGGACACAGCATCACCTCTGATTTCTTCTTCTGGCATCTTTGTAAAAAATCTGCCAAGTTTTCGTTTTCCCGTGGGAAAGCCGTCTTATTAGCCTGCTCTTGCCTTATGGCCTCTTCTGATGCTTTAGGGTCAGAAAGCTCGACCATGTTGATATTCATTGTATCTTTAGTAGCAAGAGTTAACTGCTTCATTTGTGTCTCCAGATTCTCCGTCTGGCCTTGAACAGTGGCCAAGTGGGAACTGGGCTTTGATCCAGTTTTTTGTGCTTCAGCAGTCTTCGACTTCGGGTTCTCGACCGCTTTCTGGACAGCCTCAATTGTCTTCCTGGATAAATTTCCAGAAAAACTGCCAAAGATTGGCATGTTGATGTGGTCCTTTGAGACTTCGACCATGGTAATTCCTGGCTTCTTCGACTGGATCCTGGTTGCCTCTATCATGTTCACCTCAGAGGGTTCTGCATAGTGGGCTTCAGCCTTCAGTGGATTGGAGTCGACAGCCATGGGGGATTTGTCAGCAAACTTTAATCTCCCTTCCTCGATAGCGTCTTGCACAAGATTCCTGAAAAGAAAACATTGAGAAGTTTTATGGCCCAAAAAATTATGATATTTGCAAAAACCTCTCTTCTTTCTTTGATCAAGAGGAGGCACTTTTACCCCAGGGGGTACTATCATTTGGCCATATTTAACTAGCAAGTCGAATATTTCATCACATTTTGTGATGTCAAAACTATAAGTCTTTTTTGGGAACCTATCGTTGGTCCTGTCTGGACCAATGGGATTTTTCCCATTTGAGGGGACTAACTGTTTACAAGAGTATGGTGGCCCTTGTTTTAGTTCTGCTAAATCGACTTCTCCTTCTTCGACAGCTAAAGTATCGTCGAAGGATTCTAGATCTTCGTCATCCATCTCAACGTACGCTATTCTCTCTCTCTTGTGAGTTTTCGTTGCCTTAGCTTTTTCAGCTTTGAGGCGCTCGACCTGTCGAACTCTATCGGCCAGTTGGGCCATGTCTCTCAGGTACTGGGTGTCTAGCTTCTTCCTAATGGAATAATCTAAACCGCCTGCGGCTATTTCGACCAACTCATGTTCTGGCACTTGTGTAAAACATCTCGCCTTGAGCAACCTAAACCTATTCAGATATTCGTCTATAGGTTCAGTGAAACGTCTCTTCACACTGGCCAGTTCTTTTAGGCTTATCTTGGTTTGCCCCATGTAGAATTGTTCATGGAACAATCTTTCCAACTGGGTCCAATGATGGATCGAATTGGGGGGGAGAGTTGTAAACCAAGTAAAAGCGTTCTTGATTAAAGAACTTGGGAAGTACTTGATCCTTAGGTTTTCGTTATTCGAAATGTCTCCTGCTTCGATCAAGTATCTCGCCACGTGCTCGACAGTAGATTCTGTCGTGTCCCCAGAGAACTTAGTAAATTTGGGGACTTTGCATCTAGGAGGTAAATCCGTTTGTAACACGTATTCTGACAATGGAGATGTAAAGTTGGGCCTTCGAAAGCCCATGTTCATCCCATTCTGAGTCATGATTCTTTCGATCATGGTTGCCAGATTGTTTTCCAAACCCATGTTTTGGTATTGGATATGCTGAACCACTTCGTCAGCATTTTGGTTTCTGTTAACTAACCTTACCTCTGGGGCTATTACCCTAGGTTCTTCGACAGGTTGTTCGACAGGCTGTTGAGCCTGGTTAATGGTGGTTTCTTCCTCTACAAATATCCCCTGATTTCCCCTTATTTGCGCCCTTTGGGGCTGTCGAATAGGTGGGGGTACTCCAAAGAAGTCAGCCAAACGCGTCATTTGCGCTGTAACTTGCTGATTCGATTGAGTAGTGTTATGTATTAGAGGGTTTAGCACTGTACTCAAAGTTTGTGCCAACATTTGCACCATATCATGGTTGCTTTCGTCCATTTGTTGCCTCAAGACTGCTGTCGAGGCATTTGTAAGGCCATGGGCTACTTGGGACGTTCCTCCTAAGAGTTGGGTCCCATTTCTGTTCGCCATGCCTACTCCAGAGCCTTGGAGTGGCGAAGAGGCACTCACGAAAGGGTCTGAAAAAGTGGACGCAGCATTCGTCAGGCTTGCCACTTCAGAAGTTGGCATACCATAGAATGGAATAAATCCTGGGGGAACCACAGGCCTTGTGCCTATATTTCCCCTTGGTGGGGGAGTTCCCAAAGGTATTCTGGGGCCTGTTAACGAAGTTATTGGCCCCGTGGTTGTGACCGACACTGCTGGTGTCGAACCAACGTTTGTCGCTTCACTTACGGTCATACTAACCGTTGCTCCCACACTCGTTTGTGGGATTTCGTTATTGTTTGGCGGATTCGCCATCTCTTCCCTTCTTCTGGCAGTATTGTTATCGTTGGTGTATATTCTACCACTCCTCAATAACATACAACTCGAAAAGATGAGATTATTTTCAACAATCAACACACAGTCCCACCAGGTGTGCCAATTTGTTTACCTTGGGTTTTGGTAAACAACCGCTGATCCTCCAAATGGTTACTTATTTGGTTACTCGCAGGATCGATCAGATTGATCCTAGGACATAGGTTGATTTTGAAGTTTGATTAAGTTGGATAAGGCTTTAAGTAAATTGGCTTTAAATGAATTGCATAAAGGAAAGGCTTGGCAAAATAAACAAGGCTTTAAAGTAAAAGGTTCGACAGGAAATGTAAAGAGAAAAGCAAGTAAAATTCTGGGAAAGTAAATGACTTTAATTGATAAAATTGGTGTTTCACACATACATTTCTCAACAATTCTTTCTCACACGCTGGGTACTTGAATCTAAATGAGTGACTTTGTATGAAATAGTGAACACACGCGAGAAACTACATGTCTACTCCTATTTATACTAAAACATCCCAAGTAACCGTCGGGCAGTTACACTGCTTCGAGATCAATCCACTTGGCACGTTCTCCATGCTCGACGCTCCAGATCTTTGCACGTCTGCACGTGGTAACTGCTGGAAACCGTTCTCCCTCCAAACGCTTGAATTTCAAACTGCTCCACTCTGGACCATCGAACACTTTCGTCAAGAGACATCTTCGACGAAAACTCCTTCGACGTCGAAGGCAATCAGCCTTCTTCCTTGGAAGAAATCTTCTAAGTACTTTTACCATCTTTCGACGGTCACTTCGACAGACTTAGCCAGTCGAAAGCATCTTTCAGCTTTAATGGCTGATATTAATCAAAACAAAGGTGTCGAATTTAGGAGCCAACAGTCTCGCCGTCTTGAGATCCAAGTTGAATGATTTGTTGCCCGTTACCGATAATAGAAAGGTGAGTAAGATCGAGTTTTGTGAAGACTAAATTGATACTGATGGAAGGGTGAAATACAATGTTATTGAGTTGAAGACCGATGTAGATTTGAAAGTTATATGGAGATCATATCATCGTAAGTTAACTAAGGGGCTGGTCGAGTTTGATGCGAAAATTTCTAGATCTTTCAATAATATAATCAAGATGTTGAAACGTCCAGAATTATCTGGTAGTGTTTAGGTTTTCTTATTTTTTTAAAGTTATATAATCGTTTGTCTAAGTTATGTAACCGCTTGTCAAATGTTAAGTTATGTTCATCATGCATCAATGGGATTGCCAAAATATTATCTAATAAATAATGTTATGCAAATGTATGAGTAATACTGCACATAATATACAAATAATAAATAAATAAAATAATGTATAAATAGGTCGCCCATGGGCTATGTGTGTTGCTTGCGATGCCAAACTATAAACCTCAACATCTAGGTTCACTAAACCTATGAGGTTATCCATAACTACTGCTATCATTTGCAGGTGTTGAGCATCATCCGCACCATCTGGAGGGGTTGAACATCATCCACAGAAAAAGTGTAGTGTCGTTGAACTCCCCATCTACTCTATGGCCCGTGTAAGGTATCTAGATGACATTGTCTATAGTCAGCGCATCAATCCTCATCATGTACTCCACAACACCTCTCGGATGAGCATACCTTCCTCTTTACCTCTTGTCCCGTGGGGACACAACAATGGTAGAAATAAACTGCATCTCACAAATGGACAGGAAATGCTCGTATATCCAGCACTGCCAATAATAAAAACTCATAACAATCACAGAATATAAATGTCACATCATCAGAATATCATTTTCGTACATCTCCCTGCCATAATCTGAATGCCATATGATCCATATATCCTGTGAGAACAAAACAGTCACTGGGATCACCAAGAAACCCTTCATTCGTGTGTAAATTCTAGTTTGTTGAAGCAGGAGAAGTGACATATGTCTCACGAGGAGTAGTGACATATGTCTCAGGAGGAGGAATGCATTTGTCTCAACACGAGTAGTAACCTCCATATCATCAGTAGTTGGCGCCTTAGTAGCCATATACAGAGTAGGCACCTCAACAACTATCCTTGGAGTAACCTCAGTAGTAGTTGTTGTCTTTGCCTCGAAAGGATGTGGCACCTCTACCATCTCAGAAGGTTGGGGCACCTCTGTCTTTGTCGGATGTGGCACATCTGTCTCTGCAAGTCATCTTGAACTGATGCCTAAACATCAACTGGTGCATCCTTATCATTTCTTGTCCATCCAGAAGCATATCTAGATCCTTTACGTCAAATAGTGCAGGGTGCACGAAATTAAGCTTGATTGGCCAGCCGCTTCCCATGAGAATCGATCAGTGTTACTCTCCCCGCCTGAAGATGTGAGTCTTCTGTGTTACGTCCCCTCTCTCGAGCCCTTCCAGAAATACCTATATCATATTGTCGACTAGCAATTGTACTATTTATACCTCTGGTCTTCATTGTAAAAATAAAATAGAATTTTTCAACCTACCAGATTTTTTCAGAAAAACCAGAAATTGTGAACTTTCCTCGTGTTTAGAAAAATCCAATAAAAATGCAAAGTTTTTCCAAATTTTTTGAAATTCCCAGTTGAACTTATATATTTTTACCATATTTTTTGAAATTTTCAATTATTTAATGCATTTTTACTTGATTTTGTCAAAAAATCAGGTTGAACATATGAATATTTAATGGATTTTTTAAAAAACGCGGAAAAACTTTGCATTTTTACTAAAATTTTCCAAACATGCAATAAAAAATCATGAAAAATCCAAAAAAAAATCTTTAAAATATGGTAAAAAAAAACAAACTTACTTGTCATCAATAGCAAATATCTGGTTGTTTCGATGAAATGTCAGGAAAACACATAGCTTTTAAAAAAATTGAATTGTTTCAATACTTTTTGGGGGGTGTGGGGGTGCCAAGTCAAAATTGGGGGTGACAATATAAAACCTCGTAAGTTTGACAATAATTTACCTAGATGTATTTGAATTTCGCATTATATGTGTTAGCTTTGATTATTTATCCTTGAACCCTCAATTAAACCTCCCATAATTTTTTAAATGTTAATAATATTTCTCTTATAATTTATATTTATAATTTTTTACAATTTTTGATAAAAAAAGTTCCTTTTAAAAAATCATATGAAAACTAAATGTTTTGTAGCTAAAACAAAAATTTGATCGAACCACAAAAATGGCAAAAGCCAAAAGATTGAAGATCTATTGAACATTTATTGCCAATTAAAAGCCCAATATTCATTTTCACCTATTGGAAATTTTTTGAATCATGTATACTAGATTTTTGACCACTCACTATTGTATTTGTTGTTAAACTGATCACCATGAATAAATTTGTGGTGGATGGTGCTCAAGAAGATTTAACAAAAAAACTTTCCACTGACTTGATATGTTTTACTTATAATTTTTTATCAAAACTTTTGAATTTGTTTATCGACTTATGGAATCTGTGGGTAATTTATTTTATTGAAAAATATTTCCCTCCCAGACAGAAGTGTTATAATGGGCCCAATATATTGGGAGACAACATATTATAATTGATATGTTTTACTTACAATTTTTTTATCAACACTTTTAAATTTATTTATCGACTTATGGAACTATGGGTAATATATTTTATTGAAAAATATTTCCCTCCCAGACATAAGTGTTATCATGAGCCCAATATATTGGGAGACAACAAAATATAATTGTGGTTACCATTCGGTATAATAAAACAAATAGGCTAACTCTTGGTTGTGAGAGGGGAGGAAATTACAAAAACAAAGGAAAGTTAGAAGTTACTTGTAGTAGAAGAGTAGAGTGCTCCTTTCAGTTGAGATATGTGCTATCTAGTTGTGGTTGGAATATAAAGGTTATATGTGGTATTCACAACCACCGTCTAACTAATGATTTCAATGTTCATGATATACTTGGTCATATAAAACCTAAAGAAAGACAATTTGTGAATGACATGACAAACACTACTACAAAATATATCTTTCGTAACATCATATTACTATGATCCTTCAGTTAACCGTATAAATAACTCATTTTTTGGGTATTTTTTCTTCTGATTTTTACTAAAAGATATTTCACTACGGTAAATCTTATCAACTACAGTGATATGTACCTAAAGTGATAGGCTTCAAATCTCAGCACCAACAATTTTCAATATTTTATATATGTAAAACCTATCACCACGGTTAGTAACAAAAAGCATTATGAAAGGTACATATCATTTCGGTTTTTATTATCAAGAGTGGTGAGAGGTATTACATATACAAGCGAAGTTATCTCGCTTCAATATATAACAACCGTCTTTATCAAAGAAAAATTGTAACATCACTCCATTAACGTTCTACGCAATTTCTTCACAAGCAAGCAAGATGGAAACACCAAACTCATTTTCCTTGACCTTGAAAATTCACATGCAGCGAACTCGTCTTCTTCAAAGGGTTATCTTTGTTGCATCAAAGCTTATGATATGTGATTTAAATCCATCAATTCTTAGGAAATGACTATGTTACAGGTTAGTCTACACAACGCTTCTTATTTCTCCAAAGGTTCTTTCATGGTATTTGCAATGTTACAAGTTTATGTTTTTTGTTATTGGTTCAATAGTTTATGTTTACAAATCTAGTTAACATGTTGTTTGTTCAAGAAAGTGTTAATGTATATTATAGAAGTGAACTTTATTGATTATAGAAGTGTATGTTCAAGAAAGCGTTAATGTATATTACAGAAGTGACAGTACTGATGGTTTATGGATTATAGAAGTGTATGAATTTAAGAAAGTCTTATTGTTGATTATAGAACTTTTATTGATTATAATACTGTTGATTTATGGATTATAAAATTGTATGGCTTATAGAAGTGAACTTTCTGCATATGTTATAATTACTATGTCAAGCTAATACATTTTGATTTGTAGGTGGGGAAAGTGAACGGAAAAAAATTAACTCAAGAAACCTCATACTATGGATGTAGTTTATAAATGGTTTGTGTTGCTATGAAGAAAAAATATAAGAAGGATGAAGCTAAAGTGAAAGCTGCAAACTTGGTTGAAAGACCCAAAATGATATCCATTCAAATTTAACACAAATTTACAACTCTCACTTCAACTTGATCCTCCTTTCATTGTGGATGGCATTTTAAGATAAGTAACACATTTTTGCATCTTCATTCTCCATAAATATTTTTAATAAAATGTACGTTCTTGAAATGTTTTGTGAGTTGATTTTTTGTTGTCGTTGATAAAAGTTATTTGTTTTTAGTAATAAAAATTATATGTTGTATGTTGTTTATGGTATGTCGTTGTTAATAAAAGATGAGTTTCTTATATCGTATATGGTTTGAGTGTTTTTATAATCCCTTAATGAATATATAACTTTTTAAATTGAATTATAAAATTATAATAGGAGATATTAAGTTATATTATAAAACACATTACACTTATCAATGTTATACAATATTTTTTCAGCCCATTATTCACATTTAGCTCTTTAACGGTTAGAACTTGGTTTAATGTTTTTAGTTCTTCAACTCCCCCTTCCTTCACCTTTAACTTTGTTTGCAAAGTAAATAATATTTTTCAAAATAAAGTAGAGGTGAAGGATGGGGGGTTGAAGATCTAGGAGCATTGAAACAAAATCCAACAGTTAAAGAGCGAAATGTGGATTATGGACTGCAGAAAACTTGTACAACTTTGATTGGTATAACTTGTTCTTCAAATATAATTTCATATCTCATATTATATTTTTTTAAATTTGATTGAAAACTTATATGTTTAGTGAGCAGTTGGTGAAACAAGTAGTCCACATAAGTTATAATAAACTCAAGTATACATATCACCACCGTTGTAATTTAACATAGTGATATATTATGCACTAAGTATTCACCACAGTTGGTTTTTAGGATTATGGTGAAATATGTTGAAATTTGAAGAAAAAATGTAGGTGTTGGGTATCGAACCCCGGATCAAAACCTTTTACTATGGTTGTTTTATTCAACCATAGTGGTATGTTACGAACTACAACATTTTTACCGTGGTTGGTCACCTGTTGTTGTAAAGATGGAAAATACAACCACATGCTACCTTAACATGGACCACCACCCATAGTAGAATCTTTCTAGAAACTATGGTTGTATGTGTATTTTGTAGTAGTGAAAGTACAACATGGAACAAAAGTCAATAATTGGTGCCCTGAAAGATAGAAATGTTGATAATCTCACAAGTGAGGGAAATTGTATAAGGCGAGACAAACATGCTCGTATACTATTATAGGTATATTGAAGGAAATGTAAAATTTATTGAGGCTAATTCATAAAAATAAGTATTGTGTTGGACCATAAATAGGGAGTAGTCAGATGTTATGGGTGATATATTCTGGACACATTTTGATTCACCGAAGTTGTTGAATATGTTTCATTTGGTTATGATCTTTGAATGCACATAACCAATAGGTACCGACTTCCACTACTTGATATTGTTAAGGTTATATAAATTGAGTTGAAATTCACTATTGGGTTTGTTCATTTGGAACATGAAATGGAAGGAAATTTTACATGGGCACTAGAGAAGTATAATGAATTGTTCACATACGATAAGTAGTTTCCCAAGGTCATGGTTGTGGAATCTTGTTTTGTATGTGATTTGCTTTCAACAAGGACATCAATATTTGATGAAGACAACTAATGTCTTCTGAGAGGTCAAGCATAAATAATTAAGCAGATAAAGTTGCAAACCTAATGATTTAGGTTTGATGGACTTGACGATATGATGATGGAAATCAAATGGAATGAAACTAAAGCCTCATCTCAAGCTACTGAAGCAAGTGCCTACAAACGAGAAAGCATCTGGTAAAGTCTTGAAGTGCTTAGGACCATTCTAATTTAGCAGTGAGTAAACAATTGTAATACAAAATGGTTTTATTGTAAAAGCACATGGCTAAAGCACACACACAACAAAATACATTTTCAAACTAATTTTACCAAAGAAAATATTTTTAAAAACATTTTGAAGTTGTGCTAGATGATTTGGGAATTGTCAAAAAAGTTATAGCCAAAATTTTGACTGAAAAGAGAAAGATAGAGAAAAATATCAAAATAAAATACTTTATAATAATGTCTA